AATTTTATTGTGGTTGACCGTTTTGCCACTTGCTGCTGCTGCTGCTCTGCTGCTGCTATTATTGTAGTTGTTGTTGTTGGTTGCTGCTTCTGACATTTACTAAACACAAAGAGCCCGACAACAACAACAAGTTTTGTGTGCTTTTGCAGATAAGCCAATTTATGCAGTTATTTTTTGTAGTTTATTTTTTGTCTAGTCTGCGTGTTAATTTGACTACGTGAAGAGTGGCTTAGCTGTTGAAGGCTGCCGTTGTTAAAAGTGAAACTGAATAGCTGATGTTTGAAGAGGGTTTCAGGTAGTCCAGCAGAACTAGTTGAATGTTCCTGGGAGGTGTGGCAAAAGGCTGGTAAAAGGTTGATATTGAAACGCTCTGTGACTTGCAATTATAAACATTTTCATGGATATTGCAAAAATGAGCTAGCTAATAACATAGGTAGATCAATTGAAAAACAGATAATGCGACCAGTAGAAAGATATATAGATATGAGTGAAATATATATATGTATCCAATATTATTTATTCATATTCGTTAATTCATCTTTATCATTATCATTTCCTCAAGACATATTTATTCCTTGAGAAATTTTGATCGTGTGTTTAAAAATTACAATTTCAATTAAAAATATATATAAATGTGTTATCCTACCCTTATTTATACAAAGAAGTGTATTACTATTATATTTAAAAAAGATAAGTTTGCTCTGAATAAATATAATTCTTTTTACTTATTTTTTTTAAATATATAATTTTTTAATTCAAACGAATTTTAATATTTATTTATTTAAATAATTCTAAGAACTGAAAAGATTTTTTGCTGTTGCGCTTTTCTATTGCCTCATTTAACAATTCTTATTCGATTTCTTCTAGGCACCTTGTGAAGCTTCTTAATTACTCTTCCTTTACCACAACGGGAATTTGAAGACTTTTGCTACTGGAAGCAACAGCCGCGGCAGAGGCCAAAAGGCAACCAATCAACTTTGTCGGTGCCGCGTGCTTAGCGCCCAGTGCGCCTATCAACGCACTAAGCAACTAAACCAAACACTTGACAGCCTCATGGCCACTCGCCTCGAGTCGCTCAGCCACTATTCACGCACACACGCACACACACACACACACACACACACACACACAACTACGCTTAGACAGGAGCACATGCACACGCTCTCACTCGCCTAGATTCATTTCGAGTGAAATGAACACTTCCAGTGCTGCTCTTCGTTTCGTGCTCTTGCTCAAGCCGTTTCGAAGTTCGAAAAGCCGAGTGGGAGCCGAACAGCGAACGAATTGGAGCGAAGCGCTGAGCTCGGCCCAGGCGTTCCACCAATCGAGTCAACGCCATTGGCATTTAGTCGTACATCGGTTGTCCTTCTGTGCGGATGGTTCGGCGTTCAGTATACGCGGGTCTAACCAAAAAAATACTAAACTGTCTAACTGTATAGCCGCGCGAGTTTCGCCGTTATTTTGCGAGTTGTTCACGTGTTTTTATGTGCTTACCATTTACCGCTGGCAAACGATTTGAAACGAAATGTTGTTCGTCGCGTTATTTTTACTGTTGTCGCCATCGTCGTTGTCGTTGTCGTTGTCGTTGCCGTTGTCGTCAGTGTTGTCGTTGTCGTTGTCGTTGTCAATTGCCAGCCACTGGCAGCCCTCTTCACAAAAGTTCTGAACGCATCAAGTGAAAGTTTTGCCCACCGTTAGTTCCCCCATTCTCGCGGGCATAGCAATTGCAGCAGGCGCGTCGTGCCGGCGATACCGTTAATCAACTTCACCAGCAGCGTGTATGTGTGTTTGTGTGCTTAATTTGATGTAATTAGAATGTATTTCTTACACCCTCTCTCTCACTTACCTCTATCTCTGTCTCTCTCTCTCTCTCTCTCGCTTTGTCTCAGTTGATCTGTTAATTGCAAATGGATAAAGTCCCGTTTGTTTGCTGACTGACGATGTTGTTTCATGTTTGTTTTGGTTTGTCTGTAAGACTTTTCTTGGAAAACTGATTTAGATGAATGTGATAAGGATAAGCAGAAATCTATAGAAAAGAGTTTAATTTTTAATGAGAGATAAACAAAAAATTTTAGCTAATTATTTATATATATATATATAATACAATATTATTGCAATATATATATATACATATTTTATTATCTAAATATATGATTTCGAAATACTATGGAATTACTCTATGAAAAAAGGCTTTGCGTTAA